TTTGTGTGTGTGTGCGTGTGTCTGTGTGTGTGTGCGTGTGTCTGTGTGTGTGCGCGTGTGTCTGTGTGTGTGCGCGTGTGTCTGTGTGTGTGTGCGCGTGTGTCTGTGTGTGTGCGCGTGTGTCTGTGTGTGTGTGCGCGTGTGTGTGTGTGTGTGCGCCCGCTGTCCCCCGGGTTGTTCTTCATCAGCCTTTGGACAGACAGTGTTGCTCTTCTGGGTTTGCAGTGCCTTTCCACCGGCACTAATGCTACACTGCCGGGTCTCACCATGCAGTTTGTAGCCCTGCTGACTGCATTGTGTCCCTAAACAGTCTCTTCATCTGAAGTTCACAGGCTGTTGCAGCCACATCTGGAATGTCTTTGATTTCCTGCCTGTCAGCTCCATGGCCGCGGGTCACTTCACTGGTTCCCCCAGACCCGCTTTGGTCACATCAGTGGCAGTGCTCCTCCATAGCTCAGTGCACAGCAGGCCCTGGTCACTGTAGGGTATCGGGCCTTGTGACACCTTCACAAATTAGTCCAGGAACACCCAAAGTCTGCCCCCTGCTTGGATGTCAGTTATGTCACATGAGCACACAGTATGTCTTATTAAAAGTATTCTTCCTTAAATGAGTGTTGAAATTCTACCCGTCTCTCTAATTTCAGTGGTGTTGGAGGGTCTCTTGGGCTTTAAATCTTATGGAATGAGAATGAAGGACCTGAGACCGCCAGCTGCTTTTGCCTGCATGCACTGGATATCAGAGCCATGGCACATGGGAGGATCCCCGCAAATCCCTCTTCACGCATGAATAACTGAGGAACGCTTCATAAGGCTCTGTGCTTGCAGTGTGAAGCCTTTAAAATGGGGGTGGTGTTGGAGGGGTGCAGCACGCTGGCCCCGGGGGTTCTGTGTGCTTACAGAGCTTCCCTAATTAAAAGCGCCCCCTGACCCCAGTTCTCTCAAATAGTGTATAATGGCGACAAGGCAGTTCAGCCATCGACAAATAAATGTTTAATTGCAATTAATTTAATCTTGCAATTAGTTTTTATTCAGCTGATTTTTAAAAATCAAGAAATGTGTTTATTAGTAGGTTTTACTGTGCTCTTTATTTTGTCACCCTTAAGGCGGTGATGTTTATTTCACGCTTTCCCAAAGAAACCTATGTAGGTGAAAGTGTCCGTGTGGCTCGTCCTGTCGAAGGCTTGCCATCCAGAGCTTCTGCGGAATGCTTCTGCTCTTCTCACGATGGTGGTATGAAGGAGAGTATTTCAGCCTGACTGCTGGAATGTCTAAAGGCTTCATTTGAAAGGTCATCATCTGCTGGAAGGGGCGGGGGCGACGCAACCTTTCTGCCTTTAAGCAAACACTCTTCGTATGCTCTTGGTATTTTGATATTTATTTTTAAAATAGTTGTTGGCTTTTTCTAGAGGATCAAAAAGAAATATTAACCTCTAGTCAATAATGGAGGTTATTAGGGCTGTCACGCTTTAATTTTTGAGTCCGCATTTAAACATTCATGTTGCTACTGTATTTGAACATGAACTGGAAGGATTAGATGGGGGTGTTTCATGTGAGAACCTTGTTCACTAAACAGATCGGTTACATGGCAGACGTCAGACCTTTTACTTTGCTATTGTATATGCTGGTAATTGTTTTAAAGGTAATTACTGCTAGGTAATTGAGAATTACCTGCCTAGACTTATTGTATCAGTTCTCTCTTTTTGTTCCCTACGGTGTTTATGATTTACATCTTACAACTGACTAGATGTAAGCGTAGTCTTCGGAAATTGACATGGCCAGTTGTGGTTAGCAATGCCAAGGTTTTGTTCGCTTTTCAGTTCTTTTGTAATGAATAATAATCTGACCGTATGTGTAACTGTCTAAAACGATGCTGCTGAGCCTTAAGTATCAGGCTGCAGTGCGATGGCGCTCATGTGCGGCTCTGTCTTTTTGTTTTTTTTTGTTACAATGCAGAATGCTAATTGGGCAACTCGGCTTTTAGGTATCTGGCATCCAGCCATCTTGCTCGCTCTTAAAATGTAACGGTTTCCAGGTGTCAAGCTCGCCACTTAAAAGTGGGGATGTGTAGAGTCTCTCCATCAGGACTGGGGGACCCATCTGAAACTGAGTAACTGAGGCCAGAAACAGACCGAAGCACTGCTTCTCCTCCGCCAGTGAATGCATGAAGTACAGGGCCTCTATCACTGCTGGCTGGGTGTTTTTCCAGAGTTCGACCGTTCGAAATCGTTTATGTGTCACGAGAGCAAATATTTAAATCCGATAGCAGCATCAGAAGGCCTAATTGATGCTATCGACAATGAGCGACAGGAAGCTGTGAGCTGGCGAGGCTCTGTGTTGATGGGCTGGGAGGTTGGGGCGGTGCGTACCAAGGAAACGGCGCCATCGCCGTCTGTCTCAGTCTTTAATATTCAGTGTTTATTCCCACGTTCGTGATTAATGCAAACATCGTTCAGGCAGATGCAGGTCAGCTACTGGGTGCTGCAGGATCCTTATACCAAAGAGGATATGTTCTCTCTCAAATGTCTGATTTGCAAATCTTCTGCATCAGGTCTTATCACTGGAAGGCCATTTTGAAGGAACCTGCACACCTGCACTTGTTTCCTCTGCATACAGTTAGTGCCCCATGCCGCTTCTGCTTGCAGCTTAACTCTGCAAGCCTGGATCTACAAGCGCTTCTGTCATAAAGCCTGAATCGTGTAGATTTGCAGAATTGTGGGCAAGGCGGCAACAGCAGGTGGCTGATAATATCTGCGTGAGTCAGATTGCCCCTTGCCGCTCTCTCTGGATCGCATACGCCGACAGTAAACCAGAATGCCAAAGTCCAGCTGTAACTGTCATGGCACAAGGCGGAGCTTTGACACGGTGAATGCGTCTGTCCGTGAAGAAGCCAGGGCTCAGCTCCGGAAAGCCTCATTCTGATGCATTCCTGTACTCGCGCATCTGTTTTCCTGCACGGATGATCCTTGTCTTCAAGCTGCAGTCCGTCCATTTAGTTTCAGTGACTTGTGCCAGCATGGCGTCCGCGAGTTGCTTTGGTGCTCGAGCTGTGCTTTGTGGACTGCCTGTAAGGGGACAGGACGTGCTATAAGTGAAGAGCACAGTTCTCCCCTAGTCAGACTGGACACACAAAGGGGAGATTGAGGCCCTGTGCCCTGTGAAAGGCAGCAAAGTCCCCTGAATGTCAGGTCCTTTGTTACTAAGATGGAGGGTACCAAAAATCCTTTTAAAACTACTTGGGCTTTCTGTGTTAGTAGAGATTGCAGTCTTGTTCTCAACTGACTGCTTCGGTTTTGAATCGTATTTTGAAGCATGTTAAACACGGGGACCTAACAAACATTTGGTCCACAACGTCAGAAAATGTAGAGGGAACGTTACTCCTGGCTTCCTCGACGGAGCTATTGAAAATTAAATGTAAGTAGGAGGCCGCAAAGCAGGCCGCTAAATAATTCAGCAAGGTTTCCAGGTTTGGAGCTCAAGCCCCCGAAAAAATGTTTCCAGCCTCTGCCTGATTATCAGCACGGAGGCCTGGCCAAAAGAACGGCTCAGCGATGCAGGCCCTCGGAAGAGAGATCGATGCAGCTGAGCGGGAGAGTGGATTCGGGGCTGTGTGTGCGCTGGAGTTATTATGGTTTAGCAGACCTTTTCAAGGATTCTGAAGGTCAGCCGAGATGCCGGCCAGGAGAAACTGCATTTTGCTAAGTAGCTTGCTAGATTCCACACACCCCCCGCGATATGATGGACTGTGCACCACGTGCTGGGTTTAGGGTTCGGATTCTGTTCCCCCAAAGTGTGAGAAACCGAGGCGTTTAACATAAAGTGCATGACTTCAGATTGAGTGTGATTTACATTGATTCTGTGAGTTCAAGAGCACCAGCATGTCGACAAATCCACATACTTTAGAATGAGCTTCATTAACGATGGTATGCAGTGCAGGTCAACCTCGAAGTACAGGCTGATGCGATTCCCAGACTGCCGCGGCTAATTGCACTCCGTCCATCTGCTTCCTGGGGAGATGCTGTCGAGTCCTGAGCCCCAAAGACTGGTACAGGGGCGGCAAATCGATGATGCTGACCGGCGCGCCGAAACCTGAGCAGGCTGCCTGTACTCTTACATCTTACCCAAAATGTTTCATTTCCAAAGGTCATGAATAAGGGATGAGCATGAAGGAGAGCGTGCTGCGTGGGAGACTCACCCCTTATTTGTTTTTTTATTTATTGCTTTCATGCACCTAATCCCCCCCCCCCCCCCTAAAAAAATGTATGAGAGCTTATTTCAAAAGTTGGCTGTTTATTGATTTCTCATAACTATTAATAAGTTATTATTGTGTTTGTAATAATTTATAACTGTGGTTACTTTCATTATTCATGCATTTTGTATGCATGCATTAGGATTTCAGCATTACCAAAAAAACAGCTTTTAAAGCCGAGAAAAGAGAAATGGGGGGGGGGGGGGGGGCTGGGTGCCTTTAGTATGTACATAATAATAATAATAATAATAATAATGGTCTTTAAAATGACTCAGGATTTAGACATTAAAAGTGAGCAGTCCTGCTGTGCAGCTGGGTGTGGGACAGCTTGCTGAGCCGTGGTGACAGAATGTGGGGTCATGACCTGGCACTCAGTCTGTGGGTTTTTTCATCTGAGGTCCGTCACAAAACACACTAAATCGTAAAGCCTTACACACGTCTGTCTGCCTCGTGCAGTTGCTGGAAGTTCATCACCTCTCCTATTGTAGTGGGACCCATCAGGAAAAAGAAATATTAACATGCCCCTAGTTCATTTGGCGGGTCTCAGGTTTGAGAAAGGTTCACATTTATGTTTTATTTATTTAGCAGAAAAGCGCCAAGTTAAGTGGTGCTCACTGTTGGTGGTGGTGTCTGCTCTGACCTCAGTGTGTGTTTTTTCTACCTTTCCACAGAACTCAATCCGGCACAATTTGTCCCTAAACAAGTGTTTTCTCAAAGTGCCTCGCTCCAAAGATGACCCGGGAAAGGTAAGATCCCCATCTCTTGGCTGTACTTCACCAAGCTACTTTGGAATTAAAAAATGCTGAAACTTATCTGTTTGACTGCTGAGAATAATTATTCAGACATTTTGCATGTGTTACGTGATTTATAGATGGAGTGTATTGCTCTGGGTTTTAGGAAACTGGCATTAAGCTGTCAAAGGCAGCTGCCTATGGGTTTAGTGGCTGGTAAAAAATTATTCTGAATTTAAACAGCAGATATTTGTTTGGGGGGAAGGCACCTTCTCGGAGATCCTTCATAGCCCACAGAACAGCAGTCACCCTTGCTGAAGCGGCCGGTCAGATGGGGGCGTCATTGTTTACCACCCCCCCTCCATATTTCTTACCTTCGATTGAGTAAAATCACTCTCCTTGAATGCAGAGGTATAAATTCTCTCCCGTCACCAGTTTTATCAGCAAGGGAGATTGGACTGGGACAGTATGGTACATTGACATCTGTCCCATATCGTCCTTAAATTCTCCTGGTAAGTGAGCTTCGAGGTCTTTGAGGAGATGACTACAGTGTGATGTGCTTGTAGGGTTGCATCCCTCCTGCACTCTGAGTAAATTAATGTTCGCATGCAGACCCAGAGCATAAAGATGGACCTTTTGTGAGCTGAGACCCTTCCCCCCCACCCCCCCCCCCAATCTCTGCCGACTGCAGTGACCCAGCCAGCCATCGCTGGCTACCTTTCAAACCCCCCCCGCCTCCAGACCCCCCAGCACAGTCTAAGCTGGTNGGGGGGGGGGGGGGGGGCTGGCTTTTGGGGCCCAGAAGTGTTGGGAATGTGGTGCATGTGACTGGGCTGCTGGTGGAGAAACCCCCTGCTAGCATGAGCACACCCAGCTGTGGTTGTGGTGTTAGGGGGTCGGCCTGCTAGCTGGCTCCCCTCCCTCAGCAGTATGCGCAGGTGTGTGTGCATGCAGGCGTGGGGGTCCTGGCAGCCTATAAGTGCCTTCCTCCTGTCCTCTAGGTCGTTGTGCAGGAAAGAAGTTGGCTCAGTGCATGTGTGTCAGTCTGCTGACCGCTTTCTTCTGCTTCCAGGGATCCTACTGGGCGATTGACACCAACCCCAAGGAGGACGCACTGCCCACTCGGCCAAAGAAGAGGCCACGGTCTGGAGAACGGGTCAGTGCTGCTTACTGTGTGTTCTGAAGCTCCGCCCACGTTATCAGATAGGACAATGGGTCTTGGCCCCGCCTCCTCTCACCTCTGTATGGTCAGCTTTGCCTGTAGCAATCATGTGATAAATCGTTTGTCACAGGTGTGTGCTGGTACAGGTCTCCCTTGATTTTTAAAAATTTTTTAATTTTTAATTTGCCCCTCAAAACAGTAAACACTTCGGTATAATTGTGATTAATCAATTTATGCTCACTTTTCAGACCATAAAAACTATTACTTTCATAAATTCTTTTTGAAATTATCATTAAAATGTTATCCATTTAACAATTAATTAAGCCATACATAATCATGATTGCTGAAATAACTGGCAGTAAGTATCTCTTTGGCTAATGAAATTTGCTGGCTCCAGTTTGACGAGGGGCCCCGGCATGCAGGGTAACCTGTCGGCCTGTATGAACACGTACGGCTCTAAGTCTCCAGATGAGTGTCAGCTAAAGACCTTTGTGATAACCACCAATTCTGAGATTTCCCCTAAGGGCCAATAATAACCTGAAAACTCTTATTGTTAGAGCAAACGTTCCCCCAAAAAAAGAAAATGTCACAGAGACTGACAGATGCATCAAGATCAACAGCTCCATTAAGGCTGAGTTTCCACACGTCAGCAGATACCATGGGTCTCCAGAGGCTGCTGCAGCCAGAAAACTTCATCTCCGTCACATAAAGAAGTCCTTAATTACAGATGAGCTGCCGCTCATTAATCTGTTTGCTAAAGCACTCTGTGATGGGCGTTTGGCATGGCTTCTCCTGACAGTCCCCAGCCGACCTCTCTGCCCTTTCCCACGCCTGCTTGTCTTGGCCTGGGTGCTGAGCCCCCACCCCTTCAGTTTGATGATGGGCTGCTAGTAGCCAAACTGCTGCCGTTCTTGCCAGTCCCTGATGGATGTGACATCTATCAAAAACCCCCTCAAAGTGCCCTTAAGCTGTCATGGGGAAGCGCTGATTACTATGACACACAAGTGCCTCACCAACCGGCAGGCTTGAACCGTTTGCTACACTGGGGGTGCGTGCGTGCGTGGCTCACTGTCTGTCTGCCTGCCAGCCAGCCCAGTTTGTCCGTCCAGTCCAGACCAATCAGCACATCTTGGCTCAGCCTGTACATAAATTTATGTACATGTTTACGCATTATCTTGAAGACGTCGGGCCTTATTAATAAACTATGCCCAAGAACCCATTACACGCGTGGCTCTCTGTGGTGATTTTATTACAAACATAATGCAGCCCTTCCTAGTGCTTGCTTCTCCTTCCTCTTTAATTATTAATGGCCTGCATGCTCTACGGTACACAGGCTCTCCAGCCTCCGGATTGCCCCTTCTCACAGCTGTCTTGCATCATCTTCCGGCCCTCCTCATGTAACCAAGCTGTGCCGAGCAGCTGGGGGCCCTCGAGGGCCCCCACAGTCTCCCCACCATGGACTGCTACTGCTGGGACAGCTGGTACTTGCACCAGATCACTGGGTCCCAGAGCAGAGTTCGGCCTCCTCTTGTCTACCTTCCCTCCAGCTCCATCTCCATGCTTGTTGCTGTCCTTTCTCAGTCTGCCTGGTTTGGGGGCTGTATGTTATGTAAACAGCCGTGTCTCGTTCAGGACAGGTAACCCCCCCCCCCCCACACACACACACACACACACGCACGCATAGTGCGTCAGCCCTGCTTCGCCTCTGCAGGAGTGACCCTGGGTTTGCGCGCCCCGTCGCTCGTGTGTCTGTACCGGGCCGCCGAGCTCGCGCCCGCCCACCCGTTTGGCACGGCGTGGCACTGATGCATCGCGGCTCCTCGCGTCCTTGTCATCTTGGCGCTGGTGATGGTGTTGGGGGGGTTCGTCCTGCTGTGATTACCCAGCACTCCTCCCGACGCCTCGTTCTGCCCTCTACCCCCCCGTCTGCCCAACTCCCTGAAAATGCCCCAGACAGTAAAATTGCAACTTACTGAAAGCTTGTTTCTTCCGCTTATCATGAATGAAAAATCTTATTGTTGGGAACCAATCCTCTTACAGTAAGTAGTTTCAGGATCCCAGGGTTATCATGCCCCCACCACAAGCTGGGCAGCAAATGGGACGGCTTTATTTATTCTCAGCCCCCTGCCCCCACCCAACAGAAATTATTTTTAATTTGCCCTACGTGAAGTGCTTTATGCAACTCTGCAGGAAATGTGCACCGCTTTTGTCTTTACAGAATGAGAATTAAATGTGTTTTTTTTTTCCATTTCATTAAATAAATGTTGGGAAGACATTTCAGTCTTTAAGAAACGTGCAGTAATTAGAAGCTGAAAGCAGCTATCCACAGCTGTTGCTGCCCGCTGGTCTGAAAGTAACCCCCCCCCCCCAATGCCCCTGTCTCCCAAAGGCCTCCACGCCATACAGCCTGGACTCGGAGTCCCTGGGAATGGACTGCATCATTTCTGGAAGTGCCTCGATCAACACTGTGACTAACAAGGTAACGCGGCATGTGCCCGCAGATGGTACCCTGACCTCACTCCCCTCGGTGCCAGCTGGAGCCAGTGTGATACGTGCACACGAGCACACACACAGCAAATACCTCCTACAGTGGGTAGACAGACCCACGTCCACTGCTTTATAAAACACACAGCTCTGCTGTCATAGGAGAGACTCATCCCTATTGCTATGCAATATACAATGTATTGTGGGCAGTGGTGGGTTAATGGTTAGGGAAGTGCTTGAATTGAAGATTTCAGGTTCGAATCCCCGACCAGCAAGGCTCCCCTGCTATGTCACAATGTCACATATGGGTTAAATGCAGAGGACACATTTTGTTGTTGTGCACTGTGTGCTGTGGTGTGTTAGCAATGATCACTAAATTTTTAATTCTACACATCACCAATAGGATAGACCCATCCCTACTGCTATACAATATACACAGCTCCAACGGCGATGGGATAGACCCATCCCTACTGCTATACAATATACACATCACCAACAGCGATAGGATAGACCCATCCCTACTGCTATACAATATACACATCACCAACGGCGATAGGATAGACCCATTCCTACACCATTCCTTCTGCTTGGTATTACTCACAGATACAATGACCCATCTGTGGTTCACAGCTCCATCAGTGGGACAGAGTGGTCTCGCTCACGTTCCCAGTGTGTTTTTGTTTGGTGACTGTTCCCATATGGTGAAGGCGGTGCCGGGAGGGGGGGTTAATGGAGTCCCTCTCCGTGTTTCCACCTCCGGTATTAAGAGTGAAGCAGCAGAGTTGCCCCTTTCCGTTTGGGGTGGGGTGGTTGCTTTGAAACTTAAATGGGGCTCTCGCGCTTTCCAAGCAGCTCCCCCCAACCGGCTCTGAGCCGCGCAGCCGGGAGTCCGCTTCCTGCTGTCCTCTTATAA